GAGGCAAGAGCCAAGGGGTTTTTGGGACTGCGGCAGCGTGTGGCACTTCTTCATTAACTCTGGCGGACGCCTGATGATGATGAATTTTATATAAAATGCTTAAATACCTGCAATTTAACTTTTGTCCAACACCTTCTCTCCCACTTTATCTTTCTTTCTCTCTCTCTCTCTCCCTCTCTCTCTCGACATTGGAAAACATTTCAATATGCAGCAGCGCGTGTTTCTTTTAATTTAAATTGACTTCGCTCGGACTCCCAGCGGGCGCTTAAAGCGCTCCGAACTAATCAAAAAGCTATAAAAAAACTTGTGTTTTCCCGAATACTTGTTTTAGTGGCTGGCAGCGAACAGAACTCTAGGGGATTTACTATGGTAGCCTGTACTTACTCAGCTCGTTATTATTATAGACGGGAATGTGTTTACCGAGCTGAGCTGAAACTTGACTTGAAAACGGACTATGGGTTTAGAATTATAATAAATTTATTTCGTTTAATTTGATAGGATTTTCTTGTACTAATGCAAGTTTTTTCTTTACGCAGCTCCGACTAGAGAGGGATTGGCTACCAGTGCATCGTTAAAAGTATTAAATATTATGAATYATCGATTTATATGCTGGAGAATATCAGGAATATCAGAGTAATTTTTATTTTTATTGATTTATTTATTTTATTTTTTTATTTTAATTTTAAATTCCATTCATTAATGGTTTTATTTTAATAAAATTGTTTGAATATATTTTTAATCAGTTTTTATTTATTCTTGTTGCATTTCAAACGGAGAATATAAAATTTAGCTCATTAATATTAATATTAATAAATAATAAACATTTCTCTTCACATAGCTTCAATTATAAAAGGAGTAACTGCAAGTGCGTCCTTGAAAGGATTTAATATATTGCATCATCTACATATATATGTGCTGATTAATATCTGAATTATCCAAGTAAGTTTCCTGAATATCTTATTATTTTAATTATTTCGACTGCATTCCAAACGGACATGTTGATAAATCCTTATATAAATACTTCAATAATTAAGTTTTTCTTTTCCTTTACACAGCTCCAATTAGAAAAGAAATAACTAACATTGCATCTTTAAAACGACTAATAAATGTTTTCCATCATCTATTTATATGCTGAAAAATATCGGGAATATCTGAGTAAGATAGAAATAAATAAATAAGTTTGATCAAGTCTTAACGCAGCTTCAGTCATAAAAGGAATAACTAACAGTGCAACGCTAAAAGGATTACAGCTGGACATTTATTTACGTGCTCATCAGGAATCTCTGAGTAAGTTGCCTCAATCTCATATTGCTCTTTGTTAATTACACTCTGTATGCATTCCAAATGGACGTCTATCTATATATGTATATATACAATATATGAATGCATCTGCTGTAACTGAGAATCAGTGGTTGGCCCTTTGGCAAAAGAAGCTCCGTGCACTTAGCCAGACTGTCAGTCCGACTGCATCCACATAATTAATTAACGGCTGACAGCGCTACCAGCCAGATCCCATATCCAAATAAACCCAACCCATGCGCCTCACTTCTCGTGTTGCCCTTTAACTAACAGAAATGTCAAAAATGCAAGTGACAAGTGTGAAAAAAGGACGAGCACAAGCAGAAGAAGAAGAAGCAGAAGCAGAACGGCACACGGCCAGGCGAGAAAGAAAAACAAAAGCCAAGTCAGGACACACACTCTCATATGAGAGACAGCTGTGCCTGGATTGGGTTTGGGTTTGGGTTTGTTTGGGTAGCTGGGCTTGCTTTTGCTGCCTGGGAGAGGTTGTCTGTGTGTGTGTGTGGGTGTGTGGGTGTGCGTTGTCTGCTTGAAGACGTCGCGCATTCGTGCGCAGCAAAATAAATTGAAATTTTAAAATGTATGAAATTAATTTTTTGGCGCGCTTGGCTTGGAGTCGCTCCAACGCCTCGTCATGCTGATGATATCACATGATTATTTATCTTTTACGCACACTTAGACAACGGTCGACACACTCACACACACACATATGCACATATGCAAACGTGCCTCTTGGTCTGGTCCTCTTCGTCCTGGGCATGACACTTGCCAACACTTTGTCAAGTTTTTAGTATGTTGTCAGCTTTTTTTGTCTTAGCCCTTTTAAGCCATTTGTCAAACACTTTGCATGACGTCATCTGCAGGCGAAGGCTGCGACGCCTGCGACTGTTGCTAAGTGTGTCCTTAATAAGGATATGGATGAGGATATGTCATACGAGTTCATTTGCCTCCTTGGTCAGCCGAAATTCTAGACTCCAATCTCCTAGCAACCTGCTGTTGAGCTGTTACAGGGTATTAACGATGCGATCTGTTGACAGGCTTCTGCCTTCGACTGTTGGTTTACACTTGTTATCTGGCCCCTAAGTATCTTGCTCTGTGCTGGGCAAAATTTACATATAGATTAGCAAAAGGATAGCATGGCTCGAGTGGAACGGGAGACACTTGATGGGCCGTCCTGGATGCACTTTGGCAAATGGCTAACCATCATCGAATATGAGAGTCGAGTCGCAATCGAAATCGGAATGGGCGTGGGCATGGGCATGGGCGTGGGCATGGTCATGATGTCTGCAATGTGCATAAGTGGAAATCATTAAGTGCCGAGCGCATCTTGTAAACTGATGCGTAATCCTCGACTCAACCTCCTGGTCAATTGTTTTCCATTCGGACAGGCTGGCGCGCATTGTTGCCATATCCGTTTGGCTCTCGGCCAGGTTCTGCTTCTCTCTCTCTCTCTCTCTCTCATTCCCATTCTCTTTCCCTTTCTACTTCTCCTGTTGCGTTGGCCTCTTCATTGTGAGCGCGTAAATCCCCTGACAACACTTTGCCTTCCACGTTATACAAAGAAAATTTTTGCAAAAAGCAGTCGAACAATCCTTGAACAATGCATGAAATAATTGCACAGCACTGTGAGAGTGTGTATGTGTGTGTGTGTGTGTATCTGTTGTGGAAAGTTGTGGTCCTTATAGAGCAAGAGCTGGGCACACAATGAACTTGTTGTTGTTGCTGACTGCTAGCTGATGGGCATTAAAACGCGGATGATGAGGCTTAAGTAGTTACACACAGCGGCACAATTGGGACTCTTTAGGTCTCGAGCCGAGGGGCTCAAGTGCTGCCTGTAGCATATGTGTGGAGTAAGGGATATTATTGCCCTGCCAGACCGAGAGCTAACGGTGTAACTGAAGGAAATTTCTTAATAACTGAAATTATAAAGCATGCAACAATATTGCGGAACAATAAATTAAAAGCCCCGATGAGAATAAGCTAATAGACATCTGTCTCAAATTCAAATTGCTAGGCAACCCAATAGATAGAGCAATATGAAATGATATATGATTGCTTCTAGATTGTGTGAATCATTATGGGAAGTTATTGTTGTAGAAGTTTTTGATATAAGTCTAGTGCACTATTCTCTTAGATATACTATACCAAAAATCATATTAAATTGTATGAGTATTTCAGAAGTTTGGTATAGAAACAGTCTCTTAAATTCATTTCCTCTCTCAATCCCATTTAATCTTCAGCCCTTAATCTTTACTTCAACTTCAATTTCAACTGTCTTTAAAACTCTTGCAAATTTTTGGAAAGTGTCAAAGTTTCCACTTCTCACCTTATCAAGGAAGAGCTCGCTCACTCCCACACCTGCGCACGCTGGCAAAGCACATTAAAAGCAACAAATGCAATATGAAACAGACAGAGCAATAACAAAAGCAACACCAGAAGCAGGAGTCGGAGCAGGAGCAACAAACAGCAGCAGCAGCAGGAGCAGCAGCAGAAGACAGGATCATTAACATAAAATTTTATGTTTATGGCAATGATGAAAAGTCTATACAACGGCTGTCCAAAATAAATAATTACCATTAACAGCAGTCAGCATATGAAAAGAGACAGAGAGAGAGAGAGAGAAAGAGAGAGCGAGTGAGTGAGAGGGGGAGAGACAGAGGGCTTTTGAGTAAAGAATCCCTCTAGCAGCAGTTGGCATGGAGTTCATGTCAGCAGCCGCAACATTTTGTGTGACAATCAGGCTCGAGCCACGCCCCCTGATTGGGGGCCGAAAAGTATTGAAGCATTCGCAGCTGCGGGGCAGGCAATGCCATTGGCATTTATCAAATGCCTGAGCCGAGCTGGTGCGATAGGAGTGCCTGAGTGGGTGGCTGGGTGGTTTGGGTGGATTGAGTGGTTTGGTGTGGCGCGTGTTGTTTTAAACATTGGCATTCTTGTAATTACGTTTATACTCTTCACTCCGCTGTTAATTCAAATTTACGTTAATGGAAAATCATTACGCACAAATGTGTAAAGTGCACTTTTGAATTTCATTGCCGTCGACTGAGTGTGCGTGTGTGTGTGCATCAGCTTTTGATATGCCGTGCGGCGCTTTTAATGCAACCTGCCAACTTGGCTGCTGCAAATTTTTAATGAGCTTCAAGTGCAGTTGTGCAGCTGCGGCAGCTGCTTATTGCTGATAAGCATGGCCAGAGCCAAGCTGAGCCAAGTTCTTGGTTGCACGATGTCGATGGGATGAGAGTTGAGCGACGAGATGAAGCTGTAGGTGTATTGTATATGTATGTATGTATACATAGGAATGTGTTCTTTAAGTAGACAAGATATTTGTTTTAAGTCGAAGAAGTCTCTGAGCTGCTCTCAGATGTCTAGATATATCGATCTATAACTAATAAGGATAATAATAATATCTAAATGAAATTATTTTTTAAAGTTCCTTGAATTCGTTTGTTAATCCTTAGGTAATTCAAGATGTTCAAGATGCTTGTTCTTTAATAATATGTCTGATTAATCTGAATGATATCCATTATGTCTATACAATAAACTTTTTTGCTAAGTTTAAAACATCTTCTCATTTAAATATCTTTTAAATTTTTAGTTGAAATTCAAATCATGTTAAAATATATTCTTTAATCCCTTCAGACATCTTCTCATATATAAAGATTTCTGCTTAAATCGTAAATCATATTTCTGTAGAATCTTCTATCATTTAAATTTCTAAAGTTCTAGTAAAATTTCTGTTTATATACAAAATATTATTATAGGGCATATATTTTTATAGACCCATTCTCCCTCTCTTTCACTTTCTACTTCCCTCTATCCACCATACTTTCTCAAACCCCTTTCAGCTAACATCTCATCTGCACACACTATATAAATTGACATTTACCTAAAGTTCTTAAATACTCTCAACTGCAAGCTGAAACTTTTCCTTAGTTTCTTTTTGTTGTTGTTGCCATTTCCCACGCACAATTGTCTGCAATCGATATCCAGCGACCTTGAAAGCTTCTCATAATATCCGCATAAAAAGCACGTGCTGTCAACTGTGTCAAATGCTTAGAGCTTGCCGCCCACGCACAAAGGCAATAGGGAGCGCTCCCTAAACGATTTTCATTGTCAAGGTCACACGCACAGAATGGGAAGGCAGCGACGCTTACAGCCGGCCGGCGTGTCCTTGAAGCCCAATTCAGCACAGCTTTGGAGGAAGCAAATTTGTGTGGGTGTGTGTGTGTGAGTGTGTGTTTGTGTGTGGCAAATGGCAGCTACTTGGCCTTGGCACCGACATTGAAACATGGAGCGCCCCTAGCAACAAGCGACAAGCGGCAAGAAAAAAAAGCTCGGTTGGCATTTTAAATATATACTAACTTTTAGTGCGGCAACTCTGATTTAGTTGTGAAGTTTGGGTATGTGGATAATGGAGAACAGCAGGAGTAGTAGATGCAGTTAATGCTTGAGTTATGGAATTTCGTTTTAACTTGGTTTATAGTAATAAAAGTCTCTCAGGCAAAGGATTGTGATTAAAAATTATGAAAATTGTTTTTAAGTTCTTCAGGGAAAACAAATTTTATTAAGTTCGTCTTGCAAATAACCTTTTAAAATGTTAATTTTTTTTTTAATAATTGGAAATATTCTATAAAGTTTAGAAGTATGTATTACACTATATTTATATGAACTTTATAATTTATAATTTATCTGGAAATATGTATTATAATAAAATTATATTCATTTCAAGATTTTATAGCGTATTGTATACAATTTTATTATTATTACAATTTGTATTTTAT